GAAAACAACTGGACAGCCAGGAGTTAGAGGTGTAGAGCATCACTTACATGATATATTCTTTGTACTTTTAGAATTTCCCTTGTGTGCATTTATCATCTATTCAGTTAATTTTCAATCATTCTTATTGATTGACTTCTAAACAAAGAGCAGGAAAATATATAAGTAAACATGTATTATGGGCTGAGCATGGTGGCCCACATCTGTAATCCCAGAACTTGGGAGGCTGAGGCAGGAGGATCGCTGTGAGTTTGAGGCCAGCTTGGTCTACATTGTGAGTTCAAGGCAAGTCTGAACTGCATAGTGATACCTTGACTCAAAAAGAAAACCAAAGAAAAAAGAAAATGTATTATGGTTAATGATTTGCTTGAGACAAATCATAATGCCCCTAACTAGTGATATTAAAAACTTGCCTGATGTTTTTCAAGAAGCAAGATTTCAAAAACTATTTAATAGCTGGGCACATGCCTGTAATCCCAGCATTTGAGAGGCTGAGGCAGGAGGATCACTATGAATTCAAGGCCAGCCTGGGCTGCATAGCGGGACCTAGTTCCAAAAACAAACAAACAAAAAACTATTTAATAAAGAAAATGGAAAGGAAAAAGAAATGCTTCAGAACTTAAGGGATCAATATTAATACACATAGAAATAAATAAAAAGTTATCGTGTTTTATTATGTGCAATACAACATTGATCATTCAGATTAAATAGGAAGAAAAAAGTCTGAATTATTTATTTGAATATGAAATGGGATAATAATAATAGCTAATATTGTCCTGAGCTTTAAATCCCAAGCTAATTTGTTACCAGTTAATAGTGTTCTAAGAGCTTTAAAAATGTGCACTGACAACAGTGATTCTCAAATTTTTTGGTCTCACAACTCCTTTTATATCTCTTAAAAATTATTAAGGTCCTTGAAGAGCTTTTGTTTATGTTAGTTATATGAATCTATATTTACCATATTAGAAATTAAACTTTACATTTTAAAAATATGCATTAACTCATTTAGAAATACATAAACCTATATTGTATGTTTACATAAATAACATAATTTTATGAGAATAACTATATTTTCCAAAACAAAAAATAAATTTAACTGGAAGAATGGTACTGTTTTGCATGTCTGCTAATCCCTCTAACGTCTGGCATAAAAAAAAGACAGCTGGATTTTTGTATCTAGTTCTGCATTCAATCTGTTGTAATACCACATAACAAGTAGGGTTTGCAAAACTTCAAGAGACATTCAAAAAATGGGGGGAACAAAAATAGCTAATACTGTCATAGCTTTATTTTGAAAATAGCTTGATTTCACAGTCACCTGAAAGGGTCTCAGCGATATACAGGGGTCCCCAAACCCTACTCTTTGTTTGCCTTCTCTGAGGCAAACATGGACACTGAGGCACAAAGAAAATAAACAAGTCCAGTCACAGAGCTGGGTTGGGAACCCAGAAGTCTGGTTCCCAACTGTGGCTGCCCCTCCCAGGCCTGAGGAGAACAGAAGGCAGTTGCCTGGCAGTCATAGTACCAGGCCTCCCTTCTACTTAATGTGATAAAGTTTCAAATTAAATCTTTCCATTGGTGTACGGCAGAGATAAGAAGAAGGGAGAGCCGCCACCACAGAACTCACCTCCCAGGGCCCAGGCCTGCCATGCAGCGGAAATGACACCCTACACTTCTCCTCTGAGGGAAATGGCACCTTCCCTCCCGGGAGGCGCAGCCCAGGCCTGGATACCTCCCAAAGGCCAGCTGTTACCCCTGCCCAGGCCAGGCCATCTGCGTCTCTCCCTCCACTCCAGGACACTTCTCTACATGGCTTCTTTACATAAAATATTGCCTCAGTCCTTAATTAAAATATTTTAAAAGAAGAGTAACAAAATGTAGCATGTTATGAAATAGGTCCCACGATTCAGGAAATAAATTTAAAAATAAGTTTAATAAGTTGAAAATTAAAAGCCTACTTAGACTTTCACTTTTAATCATACGCCAAGATAAATTCCAGATGTATTAACCACTTTGACAGATGGAGAAAGAGCCAAGGCTAGGGGAGGCAGGCGCCAATCCCGTCATCACTCTCTCTGGGCCTCCTAGGGTGGAGAGGACGCTGCTGACGGCAGAGGCTGAGACTCCCAGCTCTGCAGCCAACTCCTGCATGTCTTCCCTGTGTCTCAGTCCTCAGCTTCCAGGGTGTAACAGGTGGGCGACAGTGGTACTGACATTGGGAGAACACTTATTATAAGCTAGAAAGTGCAGCCAGGTGTGGTGGCACACGCCTGTAGCCCCAGCACTCAGGGGGCTAAGGCAGGAGGATCGTCCTGAGCTGGAGGCCAGTCTGGGCTACACAGTGAGACCTTGTCTCAAAACACCAATAAATGAACAAACAAACAAACTGTAAAGTGCCTTGCCAATTAACATAAGGAATAAAGATTAGCAAGCTTCATTCACCCATGTTGCTGATCTTCAATATGCTTAACATTAATATTTTAATGCTCAAACAATGCCGAATTTCTTATACCCCTACCGGCTAAGTTTCTTACTCACCATCTTTATTTAATGAAGTTGACCACTTAAGTTGTAAAAACATACACTTTCCCTCAAGGCCTTAGTAAAGTTATTTTAATTCGGAATGGGAAAAACATGCTGCCCACAAACATGTTTATTTTTCCTGAATTAGCTTTTAACAAAGAAGGCCTGGCTGGTGTGGCTGCTCCGAGGGACCTGGGTGACTTTCTCCTGGCTACTTCTGTCTGACCTGAGACAGGAGAAGCCCTGGAGCCCTCGCAGGAGGGGCCAGCGGGAAGTGCTCCACAAAGGGGAGCAAAAGACTGAGAATCAGAAAAGCCCGAGGTGCTGCTGAGCAAACTGCCTGCCTTTTCCTTGCCCCGGCCCTCCTGCACAGATGAAAACATGAAAGCAAGGAGGCAGCACCATGGAGCCCTGAGCTCCCCACTGCAGATGGTTTGTCAGATCCAGGCCTAAAGCAAGGGTCTTGCCTTCTGTCTTTCCCTGCTCCCTCTACAGCAGCACCTTCCTGGCTTCCCGAACTAGACCTCCCTCCCCTGCCCTGGGAGGATGCTCCAGCTTCAAAGCACTTGCCATTCTCACAGTCAGTCACTCACACTCTGGCCAGGACTACGACCCTTTCCCCACCACCATGCCCTCCCTCACCCATGACTGTCCGAGAGGCCACTCAGCCCTGCACAATGTCCCCACTTCCTCAGCAGTGGCTAGGCCAAAGCTCACACTAGGCCGAGCAGTCAGGTGCGCAAGAGACGAACTTAACTCCCTTCCCCACCTCTCCACTGATGTCAGGCCCAGACACACAGCTGTGGGTATAAAATGACATGGCGCAAAATGTTTCTACCGTACAGAGGGCTGGATGGAGCCCATCGGTACAGCACCTGCCTAGTGGACGTAAAGCCGTGGGTTCCATCTCAGAACCCCCAAAAACAAGGATGACAGCACAACAATGAAACTATTAAAACAAAACAATGAAACTGGTTGTATTTATCAGTCCTGTACCTTCAAGTGTAAGAAACTAAGGAATACATAGTCACAACTTGGCATAAATGAAGTCTCATTTTTTTTTTCTTTTTGGTACTGGGGATCGAACTCGGGTCCTTGCACTTGTACAGCAGGCGGAGAAACCACTGAGCTAAATCCCCAGCCCTGAAGTCTCATATTGTTCATGGAGTTTAGCTCAAGTTCCAACCCTTAGTCACTGACTAGTACTGGAAGCAGTGGCAGTGGTTCATAAGCTTCCAACAGTTTCTTTCCAGTCCTGCTACTTTGCTGCCCTCTGCACGTTTGTGTGTGTGTGTGTGTGTGTGTGTGTGTGTGTGTTACTGGGGACTGAACTCAGAGACTTCACACTGAGCTACCAACTGTGTTCGTTTGTTTTTGGATACAGGGTCTTGCTAAATTGCTAATTTATAGAGTCTCGCTAATTGAGGCTGGCCTCAAACTTGCAATCCTCCTGCTGGAATTACAGGTGTGTGTCACTGTACCCCACTTAAATACTGAGTCTTTTTTTTTTATTAAATTCTTCTATTGGTACATTGTAAGTATACAACACAATTACATTTCTCATTGGGAAAATACTGAGTCTTGAGGTTGTGATCCTTCTAAATAATCCTCATTTTGCCTAGCCTCCTGGAACAATGCTTTCATTGCCTTTATTTGCTGTGTCACAGATCCTACGATTTCTATCAGACTCGTGTGTAGTTTCTTCTATCTTTTGTCTATCTTTGTCTCACCAACATTCGTGTCTGTTTTTTTTTTTTGAGACAGAGTCTCACTCTGTAGTTCAGGCTGGTCTTGAACTCCCTATGTAATCCAGGCTGGCTTCGAACTCACAGCAATCCTCCTGCCTCAGCCTCGCCAGTGCTGGGATTACAAGCATGCAGCACACCACCCCTGGCTCATGTCTTTATTTTATAATGTTCTACTTTTGGTTCCTTTTGCTATTTAATATGAGGGGCTTACCATTTTTAAATATTACTACTCTTTTCTTTGCAATATCCTGTTCATGGCTTGATAATACATATCTATATATTTTTCAAAATAACTTCCATTTGGGGTGGGGATTTAGTTTAGTGGTTCCGCCTCCTGCCTTGCAAGTGCCAGGTCCTGAGTTCGATCCCCAGTACCAAAATAATAATATAATAATAACAACAACAACTTCCATTCATTCACTCAAGAAATATTTACTGAGTACCAACTATATGCCAAGCATGAAGCTATAGTAAAGCTCATCCCTCTTACACAGTTCATAATCTCTAGCTTAGAACAGGCAACGAGATTATATTCTATCCACTGGCCTACAAAGAACAAGAAACAAAATTTACCAGAAGAAATAGTTAGCAAAGACCTTTTATAGGGCACAGGAACATAAATACTTTAAATCGTATAATAAATCCAAGGTACAATGTAAGAAGGAAAGATCCCTCCTCTATTCATGAATTGTATCAGTAATTTATAATTACAACAAAAAATATTTTCCAAACCTCACATCCACTGTATTATTCGACTCATGGTCAAACACTGCAAATGCCTCTTTGATTCTTTTGTGAAATTCTGCTACTTTTACTTCTGCAAAAGACAAAGTAAACCAAATTAGTTTAATTTGGATTTCAAAACAAAAATCCCAATGTCCAGACCAGAAATCTTAATAGGGAAGAACATAAAGGATTCTCTCCTGATTTTCTTTATGTATTGTTTAGCCTGCTTAACTCCCTTTGGAGATGTCAAAAAATACGATAGGCTGTTTAAATTTTTTTTTCTGAGGTATTTTAATCTTCAGTACATAGTCATTCAGTTTTTACATGTGTATATAATCATGGAAACATCCAGCTCAAAACAGTGGACGGTATCCATCCTGTCCACAGTTTGGGTAAAATCCTAGCCAGAAAGCCAGAAAGCAGCTTCTCCGGCGTGTGTCCTGCCCGCCCTGCCTCACAGTGTGCATACAAATGCAATATCCCCTCTAAGAACCTTCAAACATGTCTGGGACTACACCTTACACATGTGTAATAGTGATATAGTGGATAAATATTTATTGAGTGCTTACTGTGTGCTAGACAGTATTCTAGCTGATATGGTTATAGCAAGGGACAAAATAGGCAAAAAATCTCTGCCACCTATAGCTATTTTTATTGGGGAAGATATATAAACTTGTGCATATTTAGTGAATATACATAGTAAGTCAAATGTGCTTTGAAAAGGAGGAAAAAAGAACCCAGGGAAGGGACATGAGGCTGCTGGGTTGTGGGTGGGGGAGCTTGCGGACATGAGGGTTTGGGAAGGGCTGCCTGGGTGACACGGTGACACTGGGACAGACTCCTCCAGGAGAGGGAGGAGCTGGCCCTGTGGTATCTCCAGGAAGTTTTTAGGGAGAGAATGGAAGTGCAGAGTAGCAGGAAATCAGGTCTGAAAGCTGTGAGGCTGAGGGTGGGGAATAGCTTCCTTCAGGGACCTGCAGCTCTCTGAGGATGCATGGTTTGGGCTCTGAATGCAGTGAGACCTCAGGGGGCTTCTCGGCGGCAGTGGGACCTGATCTGCTTCCAGTCATTTCAGCTATTTTGTTGAGAAGACCAAGGACCAGGACAGGAGTGGAGGCAGAACAACTGCGGATGACTGCAGGTCTCCAGGTGAGAGAGGGGCAGTGGCTAGGACCAGGACGATAGCAGTAGTGATGGTGAGAAATTATGAGATTATCAACTGGAGGTGGCGGTGCACATGAGTAATCCTAGCAATTGGGAGGCTGAGGCAGGAGGATGACAGATTGCAGGCCAGCCTGGGCTGCCTAGCTAAGGCCAGCATGGAGTACTTAGTGAAAGAATAGGGAAAATCTGTAACAAGGCTCAATTTTACCAAGCAATAAGTAAAATAGGACCCTAAGAAGACAGAGAGGGATTAAGCATAAGTTTAGATAATCAATTCAGTTACAAAAATAATTCTGCTAAATAGAGAATTAGCAACCCCTCCAGTTCCCTTCTCCTACCCCTGTCACCCCTCCTCAGGTTTAAGTGACAAGAAGTGACAATAGTAATTTAAAAGTGAAAAAAATAAAGTGAGTTTTTTGGGGGTTTGTTTTTTTTTGGTTTTTTGGTTTTTTGAGACAGGGTCTCACTATGTAGTTCAGGCTGGCCTCAAACTCTCAGCAATCCTCCAGCCTCAGCCTCCTGAATCCTGGGATCACAGGCATGCGCCACCAGTGGCCCCAGCTCAAAGTGAGAAATCTTTTTTTAAATGTATAACTTTATTATCATTCACTAAACACACACATATACAAAAATTAAAATTATTCAAAGAAAAGCAATGCAAGGGAAAAAACTATAATAATATTCAAATATAACAGAACTCAACCAAAGCAAAACTGAAAAGTACTTAAACATGTTTCCATATAATTTTAAAAAACATCTCAAGCATTAACAAGACATCAAAGGATGTGATTTGTTTTAGAAAGATTTTCAAAACAAATTTTCAGTTTGTTCAAATATTGAACAAATAGTGGTTTGGAAAAAAAATTCTAATAGGTAGTAGACTCCATATAGGCCAAATTTTTTAAATTTAAATTTCAATACAGTCATGTGACACGTGAAGGAAATATAATCTGAGAAATATGTTATTAGGCAATTTCATCCATGTGTATCGCAAAGTACCACACAGAGTGCCAAATTCTAAGTGCAAACTGAGAAGATATATGTCATTCATCTGTGTTGGCCCCTTGTATTATCCAAATACACAGTTAAACACGAGATACATGAGGCTACCACTGGCATAGCACCACACTGTTTTACAGTAAACTCTTTTATATAAGTAGGATTATGCTCTAAAGGATGAAAAGCACAGCATGTTATGATAAGTATCTAAAACAGTAACAGTCATTTATCACACTATCGAGTACTGTGTACTGTACATAGTTGTATGTGCTTCTACTGGAAACATACCCTTCTCTCCTCTGATCTCAGTGACTCCTCCTTCCCAACCCACTGATGAGCTCCAGCCTAGTCTCTATCTACATCTCTTCCTATAGTTTTAAACACAATCTATATATGGATTCTTTCCAGATTCCAGCCTGTAACTCTGATCTCTCCCCTTCCCCTCCTGCCAACCCTGTAAAGTGAGAAATTTTTAAATCACTCATTCTCTCTTTTCGTTGTATTTTTCCCCAATCTTCCTTTATACAAATATTTTCATATATAGCACTTAACCATCATCCATTCTCTAACATATATTTACTGAATAAATGCTAGGTACCAGGTGTCAGGTACTTTACATACATTTACAAGCAAAGAAGTGTCCCATTCTTAGAAAAAGCCAGCCAAGTTCAGAGAGGTTATGCAACTTGCTCAAGCCCATAGTTCTTATGTGGCAGAGGTGGACTGAACCCAGATCTCTGCTCTTCCTCCAACCTCATCCCACTTTATCTTACTACTCACAGTACTACAGGCTGGTGCTAGAGCTCAGGGGCAGAGCGCTGGCCTAGCGTGTGTAAGGCCCTGGCTTCCATCCCCAGCACAGCAAAACAAACAAACTAAGGCTATAATTCCCAGTTACTTCACTAAAATGTTAATTTTTCCAAGTTGCAACATAATTACATAACCTTCCATTTCAACAGTACCTTAAGGAATGTATCACAATTTATTGATATAATTAATTTTTCTTTATTATAAATAATATGACAGTGGAAAACATGCAAACTTAATAAACCAAAAAATGAATGTTATCTCATTCTTTAAATGTACACTTCCTTGATTACAAGCAAGTCTGAATAATGATCCACATATCTGTTTACAGCCTCTGTTTTCAGTTATGAATTGTCTGCCCATATGGTCTGCTCCTCCGTCTTCAGTTGCTTCTTAACAACGTGTATGAGTGCTTAGAAAAATAGAACACTTAGCCCTATGTCAGAATTACTGCAGCAAGTGGGAGGGGTAGGGGAAAGGAAAGAAGGGAATGGAATTAATCTGAGAAAATGAAAAAATGGAAACAGAGTCTTTGTAAATAAGGAGGGCAGGGGAAGGGGGAAAAATAAGAACCAAGAGAGATTATGCAAAGGTGCAAATTTCCAATGATGTATGTCATTGTATTGTATACCTAAAATATACCAATAAAATAAAATTTAAAAAATAAAAAAATATATTTAGAAAAAAAAGTTACTGTGAAAATTAAACCAAATCAAGTATATAAAACAAACAAACAAAAAAAGAATTACTGCAAAAACTTTTCAAGTCTAGGTGCTTGCATTTATTTTTCTAAAATGGAAACTAAGTGCAGAGTGTGGTGACTAGCGCCTGTAATCCCCGCTGAGGTTCAAGGCCAGCTTTGGGTACGTAGTGAATTCAAGACCAGCCTGAACCACATGGTGAGACCCTGTCTCAAAAACAAAAAACAAAAACAAAAACAACCCCTAATAATTAATTAATTAATTAAATAAAATGGAAACAGTTCTACTTCCTTTCTGATCATCAAAATCACACATGATTACTGCAGGGTAGGCCAGGGAGGGAAGGATATGGAAAGTTTAAATTAAGTAAAAATCTTCAGATCCTATCATCCAGTCTCTTCATATTGATTGTTCTCTAAACATTTCACTCAAAAATAAATGTGAACATGCTTCATCCTCAAGAAATATCCATTAGATTACCATTTTTAGTGACTGCTTGGTATTCAATTACAGAGCATTTTCAAAATCTATTTAACAATGATAGTGTTTTGGGGAAAATCTCCCTGCTTTATAACAGTGCACAAAGCTGGCATCTGCCTTAGAAAGAAAGAAAGAAAGAAAGAAAACATTATCTTTGATCACAAAACTTGTTTTTTCAATGATCACCTGTCAGGAATAATTAATCCCTTAATAAAAGATCTAGAGCTTCTCTAGCTCAGGCGCCCTCACACTGGGCACTGGCCAGATTTGTCCCTCAGTACGAGCAGATGAAAGCAGTTGGTGCCAAGGAGGAGGCCAGAGCAGGGCGGCATAGGATGATACCAACGTGAACCAAGTTTCTCACTGGTAGAAAACTATAAAAAATAGAAGGACTCATATTCAAACTTTTATCAGGAAATGAATATAACCATTTCAAGTATAAAATATGATACAGTGAAACCTGGGATTGTAACTTGTCCTGCAAGTGTTCAGCAAGATGAACAAACATTTCTAATATATTTTATTTGATAAACGAGCAATGTCTTATAATATGAATAGTACGTGACACCAAACATCCGATCACACATTGTTGGTGATCATCTTCCAACAGCAAGAGGTTATAGAAAAGATCTCCTCTGCAAAGGAGGAGGAGAAAAAGGTGGAGGAATTCCTCACTTCAAATGAGATTAGGGAGATATGTAAAATGTGGGAAATTTTGTAGAAAGTCACCACTCAAATAAGGCTGTAGCAGTGCGAGCGATGAGTCTGTTTAACAACAATGCAAAATCCTCAAAAGGAGGCAAAGACTAGTGTCATTGGACAGGTTCCTTGTTAAAGTTGCATGAAAAGAAAAAGATTCCAGGGCCGGGGATTTAGCTCATTGGTTTCGCCGCCTGCTGCACAAGCTCAAGGACCCGAGTTCAATCCCTGGTACCAAAAA